GGGGGCATGTAGGGTACCCATGTGTGCATGCATAACAGAGACCCAAAGACTAGCTGGCTGGCAGGAGGTTCACTTGTCCATGCACAGCAGAGCCTGAACTGGGGCGACGGCTTGTGTGCCCACAGAGAGGGTGCACATTGCATTTTGGGGATTCAGGCACGCACACGCTTTGGGCACTTGGTCCAGAAAAGGTTAGCCATCACTGCACTAGGGTATAGTCTCATTCCTAATATCAAGATTTCAAAGAGTGTATAGTCATTGCATAAATGAACTTCTCTAACAAAACAATTATACTAATCCATATAGTTGAGAGTCAAGCATCAAATAAAAACATATATAATGTTTGCTGCAGGGGATGTGAGATTTTCTGTAGACTTCAGCCCAGGAGAAAGATAGTCCAAAATTGCTCTATTATTTAGTGGATCAGCATGGCAAAAACAAACAACAAACAAACTAGAATGACGGTGATTTATGAATTGCGACCATGGCATGACAGTACTAGATCAGACTGCATATGAGTTCACATATATTTATTAATCATTTGATAAATATAACATCCAGCAATCCAGGAGAAACCTATTCTTATTATATCTACAGATATTCTCAGTCATCCAGGCCATGGCTATCCCAAATGTGCTTTTTCAAGAGGCAACAGAACTTCTAGTTTTTCTTTGAAGACACAACACAGTCCTTTCAGCAGTTCCAAGAAGACTCCGCATCCATTAGCTAAGGTGACCCTGAGGACACAGACAAACCTCCAAGTGGCCTTAATGAATCTCTAAACAATGCAAATAGCCACCTGTCTGCCAGGAATATAAATCCTTCCATTCCTCACCATCCAGTCAGAGCTGAAGAAGCTTCTTGGACGAGAAGCAAAACATCTTCAAAGAAAAACCAGAAAGTCCAGTTGCCTCTTGAAAAAGTATTTGGGATATTCTTAGTATAAAAGTATAAAAAGAATCATTATGTTGTAAAAAGATAAAGATCTTCTTATATCACTAGGTTTAGTGTAGTCTGGAGAGTAAATTATGCTAAACTAAAAAAAAAATGCCTGTCTTTCTATATATAAAATAGCTACTCAAATTAAAGAGCTTTTTTTATTAGTTTGTTGCATCTGCAAAGCTTTTCTATATAAGTAATCCACACATTCACAGGCAAGTTACTAAACAATATTTTATTGAATGATATATGAGCTTGGATTTATCTACTTGATATAATTATCTTGGGAAGACGTAATGATATCATAATAATACATGATGCAACTTTGCCATTTATATAATTGCATCATGTTGTGTCTTTTCTTATCAGTTCAGAAGCCCATTTCAGTTTCCCATATTGCCTCCCCCCACTTAATAGAACTAAACCAGCTATGGCATTAATTGTATTAACGTAACTAATTTAGTTAATTTTTCTTTTCCCTGTCATGGCCTTCCCAAAAGCAACAAAGATATCAACCAACCAATTCCATTTTTGAAAACCTTTTGTATTTCAAGAGCTACCTATATTGATGCTAATAGGCAATTTCTTCCATCAGTCATCAGCAACTGTTCAAGAGCTGTTTAGGGCTGTATAGATGAAGAAAATTCTTTCCCTAATCCGAACTTTGATTCTGCTATTTACATAATAAACAAAATACAACCAATTCTACAACTGAAGTCATGTCTGGTTTTCGACCAAGGCTGTCAAACTCGCGGCCCATGGCTGGATGCGTCCTGTGCTGGTCACACCCAGTTTAGGAAAAAAGTTGTGATATGTCCTGGGACGCTGTTGTGACAACGTGAGTTTGACACCCCTGCTTTAGACAGTCCTTGTTGATGAACTTGAAACTGATCTTGGGGAAAAGCAAATGTGGTGCTCCAAATGTTGCCAAATTACAATTCCCAGCAGTTTCACCCAATCTGAGGAAAAGAAATTTGTGATTCAGTAGTAAATGGACTACTACAGGTTGCTTTCTGCTGGCCTCATTAGGAAGGAAAATAAAATGGGTGTTTCAACTAGCAAAAAGGTTGTGTTGTAGCTTGCCAGCTGGCAGTGGAGCTGGCAGCAGAGTCGAACAGTGAGGAGGTTGGGGAGGAGCATGGGCCAGTCTTGTAGGCTAGGGAAGGCTCAGATGAGGGCTCTGCGTTGGAGGCAGAGATAGGGCCGAGGCTGTCTGGCAGTGATCAGGTGCCTATGCAGCTAGACATCAGTGGGGCAGAGGAACAGCTAGAGCCTGTTTCCAGTGTGCGCATGCGCAGAGCTGCCAGAGGAAAAGAACAACTCAGAAATTAGGGTCGACTTGGAGGTAAAGTCACAGGTAGAAGGTGATTTGTCCTTCCCATAGGAAATAAAAGAGGAGCGAAAGGGGAGTGGGTTTTTGCCCTGTTTGTTTGTTCATTTATTAGATTCATTTTAGGAGTGTGAAAATCTGTCAGTGAATGTCAGAGACTCTGTGCCCAGTCTTTCCTTTATTTGGAAAATATTTACAGGGCAGCTTTCCAAGATAGATAAGGTCTGTAGTCATAATTGCTCCTTTGAAAGACTGTTTGCCAAGCCTTGCTGAATGTGAATGAAAGGCATTCACATTCGTTTAATAAAAGGGGTTTTGTCAGGACCAGGATTCTGCTTCGTGCTTTTGGGGAAGCCTAGGTCAGAACAGGCTGGGATTACATTTTCAAGAATCATCATCCACAGAAGGAAGATGAAAGTATGATTAAATATTCCATTGAATAACATGGAGATATGACATAATATAACACCTCTCTCTCTTTCTCTGACACTTTAAGGGAAGATAGACTCTATGTGATTTTGATAGATTTTGTACATCTCTTCTTGTCACACTGGTAAGCACCAAGACCTGAATAGGGCCTAAAGTTATACCCATCTAAAATGTAATGCTCCATGAATACATTTCCCACTAGAGAGTATGAATTCCATGAAAAGATCTAGCCACAAATGTCTGATGATCTCAAAAGAGAACAATGTTCTGCTTCCTGATAGTCTATCTAAGTCAAATAACATGAACGATAAAAGGTTAGGGTAGACTGGGTTGCAATAAGGCATTAACAGTCAAGAAACATTTAGGCCAGATTAATGCTCTGATTACTGTCTTATGCTGTGAATTTTTCACAGACAGAGGGGAGTATTATTATGCACTATTGAACCTAAAGGACTGTTATCTGTTTCATGTGCCAGTAGAGAGATCTTTTATGCCTTAATGACAAGCTGAATACAAGAAAGTGTATTCATTGTAAATGGCTTTCCCAATATGACTCAGCCAGAGTGAAGGAAAAAATGCCTATAATGAAAAGGTAGTTAGTTTTTCATTCTCAGCTATTCCCTGTTTTTATCAGGTCTTGATGAGTGCGTTAATCAGGTACAACCAAGAGGCTTCATGAAACATGACTTTATTATAAATATTTAATCACTGCTGAAGAAAAACAGGCCAACATAAAAGAATTTTAGGCAGCCTTGTATAATTACATAGCTCTGCATAGTTACATAGGATTCTCCTCCTTTATTAAAAGGGAGGAGACTCCAAAACAGTGAATCAGGGATGGTGAGTTAAAAGACAACTCAAAAATTTGCATTGGAAATTTGCATTTCTTATTTCCATCTAATTTAATCCATAGTTTTTGTTGTCTGAATTTAATAGATTGCTACTACGAACCCAATGATGCAATGTAGTTACATCAAACTAAAATTAATCCACTACCAGACAAATGCAAGAAAGATGATGGTGGTGGGTTGGGGCCTTGAGGAAATTCCTTATGCTGCCTGCCTAAGGCTTCCAAATTCAGGGGTTGTCAAAACTTGGCAGGCTAGAATAATTGGTTTCTGAACTTGTAGTATTTATAATGATCAATATTTTATTGGCTACCCAAGGCTACAGCCGAATGGCAAGCTTGTGAAATCAGAGCACTTAAAGAATCAAATATATTTCATGCTGTTATTTCTCATGCCATCCTCCTATTTATATTTACTGATGAATCAAGAGCCATTTTATCTACATCATGGATTGAAAACGGTGAGGCAAGAAAATTAATGTTGGTTCTTTTACAACTACTAGAATTGAAACACAGCTGCAAGTTGGTTGCTTCAGGGGATGATGGTTGGGCTTCTACCTACATAGTATCCTTGTAAGTTGTATACCCACAAATACTAGCTGAATCTCATTGGGAACATAGTCAATGGTGGAATTCAGCCAGTTCACACCACTTCAGGAGAACCGGTTCTTAACTTTCTGAGCAGTTTGGTGAACTGGTTGTTGGAAGAAATCATTAGGGCAGAGAACCGGTTGTTAAATTATTTGAATCCCATCACTGAATACATCCTGCATATACAATAACATTTGGGTGAAGTCTCACATTGCTGACCAGCAAAGCTATTTTATGAATATCAACTGATATTGTAAGCAGGCCAACTGTTTGGTTAACTGGCAAGCTTTTGCTGCTGTTTTCTGTTTTTTTATTTCTTGTAAGCATCAGAGAACTGGAAATAATGACCAGAAGAAGAACAATGGACGTAGAACTTGCTACTACAAAATATAGCAGTTGTGGGCATGAATCTAGATACCTTTAAATGCAGAAAAGATTAGAATAATATCTGCCTGTCAAGGGTTGCTACTTATGATTATGTGCCATCAAGTTGATGACTCTTAGCAGCCACATATTTTTTCCCAGGAGCTAGATTATTTGAATTAATATTCACAAATATTCCAGTATGCTTTTAAGTATGGTTGCTGTAGAGCACACACAAAGATGTTATTGCCATGATATGGTGATGAGTTTCTCACAAGCCCATATTGGTTTGCCTGGATGCAGAGAATACTGGATGAAGCAACATGATCCAACTTTATCAATTTTGATTGTGATGTGTGTTTGTGTTTAGATTGATCATTCCTTTGCAACTTTTCAGAAAGAAGACATACTCCTTCCAAAATGTAGTTTTGTTTTCTAAAATTCGTTTTAGATTCCTTGGATAATCCCTATTCCCCTGAGTATTATCTAAATGAAACTTACCTCAAGTGCAGCTCCAACTGTGAGTAAAGGAAGTGAATGAAAGCTCTCCTAGCCACAATTTCTGCATGGCAATCGTTGACAACAAGTCCTTGATCATTTAGGTATTCTCCATTTAGGCATTTGGTGCCTGAAGAGAGCACAATAACCTGAGCCTGCTGAATGTCCATACCTATAAGGGAAAAAACCAGCACACACACAATCAAAAGTTTGGTTTGGTTTGGTTTATTAGATTTATATGCCACCCTTCTCCCAAGGACTCAGGGTGGCATACAACATTAAAAGAAACACATAATACAAAAGTTAAAAAAAATTAAATAGAATACCCCAAACAAACCCAATTAGAATTAACAATAACATTTTTTTAAAAGTTCATAATGGTTTGAGATCACGCTTTCGTGTAGCACCAGAGAGAGTTCTAAATGGTGATTACTTGGTGATAAACAGCAATAATTGTTTTCATCACATTGTATGGTGCAATAATGTATGATCTCTTTTAATATAAACCACGAATTCCCATATCCAAGTCGACCAGAAAGTTTACTTTTTAAATCATTAACCAGAGATGATATATCCCATAAGGAAATAATAACACATTCCTGCAACCCAGATGAACAATAATCTTCCAGGGAACTTTATTTTGTTGTTATCACTGCTGTTCTTTTTTATGATAGAAACATACATCCTATATAGTGTGAGCTTTCATTTCCTTGGGATTGCAATGACTAATAAAAAGTGAGTTTTAGAGTGCCTTTTCTTTAAGAATCATGTATATTGTAATATATAAATCTCTATTCAACTACTGAATGTGCATTCCTTTATAAAATGGGAGCAGTTATCAGGTCTGTGGCCACTTGTTTTGCAATATGACTGAAGACCCAGATAGCCTTGAAAATGTCCACTGCAAGTGGAATTTGCCAGTCCAGGGAGATATGAGAAGTTGTGTTTCCTCCATAGTCACATCTCTCTTTTGGGAACAGTGCACGGCAGATATATTCTGCACCAGTTGTAGCTTCCAAATAACTCTTCAAGGGAGCTTCATGTAGAGCATATTGCAATAATCCAGCTGAGCAGGGGTGGGATTGAAAATTTTTAGCAACCGGTTCTGTGCCTGGTTGTTGGGAAGCATGGCCATGGGGTGGGGGGCATGGCCTACTCAGCCTCCTGTATCACAATGGGCTGTATGTGTGTGTTTTTACCCTCCCCAGGCTCTGGAGGCTTTCCTCAAGCCTCCGGGAGGGCGAAAATATCCTCCCCTGGGCTCTACAGGCCCTCCAGAGGCCAGAAACAGGCCCATTTCTGGACTTCTGAAACTTCTGGGAGGGCCATTTTTCACCCTCCCCAGGCTCCAGAGGCTTTCCTCAAGGATCTGGGAGGGCAAAAATGGCATCCCCTGGGCTCTGGAGGCTCTCTGGAGGTCAGGAACAGGCCCGCCCCAGGCTCTGCACAGGCCCTGCACTTACCTGGCATTATGAACAGGCTGTGTGGAGATTCCTGGGAGAGGAGGGGTGGGCGATGCCAGCCAATTTTATCAACTAACGTAAAATTAGCATCGGGTTCACCTGAACGGGTCCAAACCGGCTGAATCCCACCTCTGCAGCTGAGAGATGAGGTATATACTCTATCTGAGAGCTATGGGCATTCCCAAATTCCAGGCACTTCTTAAGATCTCATCGGGTGAAGTAGGACTAAGAGGCCAAGGTTCAAAGTCATAGCTAGGGAATAAATCGTTGCCTTAGATCAAGCCACTGAGTGATTTTTAAATAACATAAAATTTAAGATACGTATCACTGCAGCAGTTGTCGCATACATAGGCAGGAGCTTTATATTTAAACATTTCACAAAGTGTGGTTAGAAAAAAAAGCATAGTATGTTTAGATGCCCTCAAGTATTAAGCTATAAATGGAAGTAATTTGCTCAAAATCTCCTTCGGCAAACAATTGCTTTGTTTTATTTTTGTAAACTAGATGAAGGATGCTGTAACCTAAGTAAAACCCAAGTAATTAAATAACTATTAAAAAGAATTAATCTCAGGAGACATGCTGCTTTAATACTATATGTGCTTGCACTCACATGCACGTTTTCTATTTTTATCTTGCTTCAACACAATGTTTGCTTATTAAAAGACTCACTTTCCCCAAAATAATGGTAATTAAGCCTTGGAAACCATGTTTCATCCTTGTTGCAGCCTTGATGCCTGTCTTATCCATTTGGAAAAGAATTTTGAATATGTCTTCTGTAACCATTTTTATGAAACAAGGGATGATGAGAGTGGGTGGGAGGTGGACATAAAGAAACAACTAGGCAATGAATTTAAAACCGGAATGGGCTTTTAACATTGGATTGAATTCTTAGAAAAATTTCTAATCAGATCACATCGCAAGAGAATGAAAGAGAAAAAACTGAGATGGGACAAAAAAAAAAACCTCAAGACATTATCTGTGAAGACATGAGTAGCATCACCTGAAAATGTCCAAGCCAATTTTCCCCCAAATATGTTTGGGGAAAAACGAAGAGCAGCAGGCTAAGAATTGTATTATTTTTATGGAAATATTGAAATATGACAATGGTGCAGGAAGATCAGAGGGAAACACAGAAGGTAATGTAGACAGATAAGAAGATGGTTATTTTCTTGGGTTCCTCTAGAACAGGGGTGTCAAATTTGATTTCAGTGAGGGTCACAGGGTTGTGTTTGACCTCGGGGGAGGGGAGGGCATGGCCAGCTCGATGTAACTCGTGTCAGGGGCACCTGTGGTGGTCCAAGCACTCTGCCAGAGAAAAAGGGCTCCTGAGCTCCATTTTTGGGCTGTGATGGCCTCCTGCAACCCTCTGCCAGTAAAAACAGCCTGGGAGGGTCTCCTGCAGCCCTCCCGTGCTCCGTTTTCACTGTCAGATGTACCGCGGGCCAGTCCTTCGCTGTTTCCAAAGCAGCCCTGCAGGTCAGATTTAAGCACCCCATGGCCCAGATCCGTCCCCCAGGCTTTGAGTTTGACACCCCTACTTTATAAAGTTAGTGACTTAAATATGCATTTGGAAACAATATCTGCCCCCAAGGTATTTACTAGGTAGAGATTCTTGAAAAGGATTTACTGAACATAATTTGCATGCAAAGAATATATTCTATCGATCAGTTATTATCCTTGCTTTTGACTTTTAGGATATGATGGCAATTATAATCCCCACTAGGTAGGAAGTATGATCAAAGTGGGCTTTTCCAGAATGTATCTTCCTTTTAATTATGACTGATTTCTTTGCAATCCCGTATCTTCAAGAGGCTGAATTGCCATTCAAGGGTTAACGTTTCCTTTTTTGTTACCATTTATCCCCAGTAAACCCAACTGTCTGTAACCCTCCAGTGAATACTTGAGTAAATTGCAAAATGTTTTCAGATACTTGTAACCAGCTTTGCAAATAGACTATCAGCAATGCAAATGTCTTCAGCCATGCAAATAGACCGTTATCAGCTTGGCAAATTTTTTAGCATTCCCGTGTAACCTAATTTGCTTTCTTGCTTGATCTACAACTGTCAGCTCTTCTGCTGTTCCACCTAATGAAGAGATCTGTGAAAGCGAGTTCATGAATGGCCATTGTTGCCACTACTACAATACCACACATGTGTGTATGCGTGCATCATATTGTATCCTTTAGTGGTTTTGGTTTTGTGTGTGTGTGTGTGTGTGTGTGTGTGTATGTGTATGTCCGTCCGTCCAAATTGGCAAGATGGTGGACAAAGCATTGCGATGCAAATTCTGTCCTACACGTATTCAAAAGATGTAAAGCTTGCGTATCACTCTCTAATTTTAACCATCTTCATTTATTTTCCTGTTAGTAAATGTAAATGTAAAGGTTTCCCTGTCACTTGTGTTCAACTCTATGGCACAGTGGTTATATCCTTTTCTTAGCTGAGGGAGCTAGCATTGTCTGGAGACAATTTCCGTGGTCATGTGGCCAGCATGGCTAAAACACACAGAATGCAACAACAATGTTATCTTTCCACCAAATGGTATCTATTTATCTACTTACATTTATGTGCTTTCAAACTGCTGGATGGTCAGGAGCTGAGCCAAGTAATGGGAGCTCACCCCATTACAGGGAGCTCAGGTCTCAAACCCAAGCTGTCAGCTTTCCAGCTGACAAGCTTAGCAACTTTTAACAGGTGAGCCATTGCACCCCTGGTGTTAGGAAATCAAGCATTGGAGTATGTTGAAGAGCCTAGGGCATTGAGGCGCAACATTCGCTAAATATTGTGGACTCTCTACGTATTGATTATCTCCATATCTGGCAATTGCACTGAGTGAATCATCATCACTCAGTCAAAATGTCCTCTTTTAGAGATCAGCTCATGGGAAGAATGGCATTAAACTGTAATAAACATACACAGGAAAAAAATGCATTTTCTGGGGTCTCCAAGTAATAATAGATTGATAGATTGATTTACTCATTGGGACTTAAATGCTGCTTTAATCAAGCATCACAAAAATCTGCTATAGAGTGTTATCTACTGTCTTTTTATTAGGGAAAAGAAAAGGCTTTGCATAATCCCTCTCTGTGGGATGAGATTCATCCTACTTCCTATGAGAGTAGGAAATGAATCAAATGAAAAAGTAAAGAAACTATTTAATGAAGTATTCCTCTTTGCAATAAATGACAACTCTGGATATTATGTACTTTTTAAAATGTATCTCCATCAATAGATAGCTTCTATTCGGAGTATAAGAAAGAACTGCCTTTTTATATGGAATGCAGAAAAAACATTTATGAAGCCTTTGAATTAAATCTGTGGCTGCCATGTCTAAGGCAAGCCAGAATTTGATCCAAGAGACTCCCAGCTTGACTTGTGAAAATCCAGTAAATCCTGCTCCTGTTTTTTTACCCTTACTCTGTATCAAAGTAGACTGGGAGTAACTATGTTTTTTTAAAAGTAACTAGATTATCCTTTCCAAATACACAAGTGATTCAACCTAGAGTACTTTGAGTGTCTGATCGGGCAGTTTGAAACTCTTCCCCCGCCCCCATCCATAGTACCATGTTTTCCCAAAAATAAGACAGGGTCTTATTTTCCTTTCACTCCCGAAATAAGTGCTTGGCCTTATTTTCAGGGAGGTCTTATTATTTTTGAGGTGCAGGAGGCCCCTTAACCTCAGCTCGTGTCCTGTGTCCTGTGGCCCATGG